ATTTGAACTTACCCATTCCGTATCGGTCATTCGACAGCATTTCGCGTGTACTGAGGTTTTTCCAGTAATCGGATTGGGGAATGTGAAAGAGAGGCAGTGACCACTACACCGGTTCACCCTGACGATCATTAGCTCACAACCTCGCTCGTCGATAATCTCTTCGGCTCCTGTAACAAGGACCATAAGCACCTTCAATTTGCCGTTAAAATAGTTTATAGGTTAAATTCGAGACAAATGAGAGGATAAGCAGCACTGCCATGAATGTCTGAAAACTTGATTTCAAGCAAATATCAATTGAGGTTTATTAAGTTATCATTCACTGTTAAAGTGTAAATACAGTAAGACGCAACACGCGCGAAAAAAAAGGAATTGTTCTTCATATAGAAGGTGAAGCTTTCCGATTTGAAAACAAAAAAGTTTTTCTCTCCAAAATCTGATTCAATGTTTTTTGTGATGTGTTCAGGAGAAATAAAAAAAATCAAAAACAAAAGTTGACCTACCAACTTTTCGGCAGTGATATTTGACAACTGCTTCATGTGACGAAACAATTAGCAGTATGGAAAGTATGAATATTGGTCGATGTAACAATATGCAGTGCAGCATCGACCGGAGCACCTCACCAGCTCCCATCAAGTTTCTGGAAATTGCCAAGGTTGTTCCTCATAGACTTTCTATAGCAGTAGCCATTTCAGAGACGGACTAGGAAGTACAACCTTAGAAATCATAAAAAATAGTAGTGTACAAGAGATGGGCTCGCTACTAGACGGTGAAGACCTCCCTTTCCAATAGAAGCTACAGAATTCGATTATGAAGGCTCTTGAAAGGCGAGAAAAAATCTTTATCGGGATGAACTTTATAAAAGGAATCAGTAATCAGAGAGTAGCATTTCTCGCACGATTCTCGTTCTGAACCTGAAGCGGATAGGCAATAAAAATCACTGAGTGTAGCACTAAGAAGACTATTTATTCGGAGAACAATGATAGCGAGCTGACGTAAGGAACCACAACCAGACCACCACAGATAGAGGGGATTATAGTGCAAGTTCCGGGTCAAAACAGACCTAAATCGGCACGCTTTAGTGTAATCAGATATGAAAATAGAACGACTTGTAGTTCGTGGGAATCACCAGTCCATTAGGAACACGCCAATCTGCTACGGCTTCACATGAACCTGATCCGCCCTCACTAGGAGGTGATCAGGTACATGGAAGGGAGTGTTCGATTACTGGTTTGGAAAGAATCAAAATTCAATGGGATCAGGATTGGCCCAGGATGGTTTTAATTCAGTTAGTATGATGATCTCGATTATTTCAGTTCGAGGAATCTGTGGAGGTAATTTAACAGCAAAAAGGGATCGGTTAGGAGAATGAATCGAAACTTTCGGAGATATCTACGTGAAAAAAAAAGAGAAATGAATCTTAATTAGTGGATACCTCTAAGCAGGAAATAAACGATTAAAAACAAAAAGTTATACATTAATAAAGCGGAAACCTCTTATTATACAATCGAAAAATTCGAGCTCTCTGAACTGATAGGGACGAATTATTAGAATAAAAGGGCACAGCAACGAATAAACATTCTAATCGACTCCATGAAGAATAATTAGCACAATTACTGAAGTATTCAGCCATCTATTAGTAAAGGTCGGAAGATATGTAATACCCGGTATGAGTTTCAATGGAGGAATGGAATCACTGTAAAAAAAAATACTGACATACAAAGCTATTTGTCAGTTAGGGATGAAGGATGATTGGTGACTAATATGAATTCTGATTAGAAAATAAAAAATACCCTCGAAAAACTATCAATTTCCCGTTCATTTCAGCAAAGGATAGAATAATTGCTATTGGATTAGGCCTAGGCATTCGAATTCTACTCAGAATGGTAGTTACTGAATGTGCACATGTCTGACACAATGGCTTGCTAAGGACAAGTGATGTACAAGGTCAGCGCTTCTATCTTCCCAGACTAATCTGTTATCAGGTAATAGACATCGATGGGAAGGAACACTTGGTTAGCTTGGGCGAGTTCGAGCTTAAATCCTTGGACCATCCCTGTTTCATGGTGGGCCACTTGGCACGGGACGAAGTCGGAGGAGTGAAAGGCTCGGATCACCAGGGCAATTTATTTTTCGGGATCTAATTCCAGGCTTATATGTGAGGCAATATCACGCCTACGTCATTCCAATGTTTTTAACAGTGACTGGTTATTACTAGAGAATTATAATAAAGTGTCTTAGGTAGTAAAAGGTGCGTCTAACCGGAGAAAACACCGGGAAAGTGCATTACGCCCTTCTATGATTGTGGCAGGATTAAGATTAAGAGTGCATCGCCTCAAAAAACTTTCCCACGCTGAAATAGTAGACTTACTTTTTCTTAAAACTACTACTTCGGATTTTTATGGTTATATTGCTAAATCCTTTTGAGGATGGTGGCATTTCCCAGTTGTGTATGTGTAAAACTCGCTCAATTTGGAATGGATAATGAGGAAGCAGTACAGTTTTCGACACTGCAATAAAAGATAACAAAGGGCAAAGTTTTCATGCTTGAATCAATCCTGTGTGAAGGATGTGCTCCGCATTCGATCTACATTTAGAATTGTAGTGGGGGTATTGAATGTGGCCTACACAATTGCTTGGGGTGACCTGATGTAGGAGTCAGTGCTTTTTTACTCCTAAACCAGTCTGCTACCTCTCACCAAATCCGTAGGGAGGGAAGACTTGTTTGGCCCCCGCATATTAAACGTAATTCGAATCTGTGACCACACGTGAGCGCCACTTGCAGCAACACCACCTCCGCTCTTGACATTACAGTAGGAATACGAATACGAAAAAATGTTCGATAGAAGCTCTCCCCAAGTTGACACATAAACTAGGAACTTTCACGAATTACCTTTTTTCAAGTAGAACCATTCGAAGATGGAACAACCTACGGGTGTTGGAGTAAGCCTGCCCAATGGAGGATGTAATATGGTGGTGGATTGCGATGAGGCGCAATAAAAGGAGATGGATGTCACATTATGAGCGCATCTTCACAATGGGCAGATAGGATATGCCAATTTTAGCCGATTTTTTTGGTGATTCACTCACAAAATCTTCTACTTTTGCCTAATATAGTAGTGATCTAATATTATCTAAATTCCATAACAACTGGAAGCATACATGGAACCTAAATTTTATTCCTGCTGTCCATTGTGACTCAATTTTCCAAATTTTGAATACGACCCCTCCCCAACCCCAAACAATGGAGAGTCTCTAAACATTAGGATGGAATCTGGATCGGATGTTTTGTTGTTCAAATACGAGCCTAGAATGAAGCTACATATACCAATCATCTGATGGAAAACACTCATTGCCTCGTTAAAAAAATAAGTGACCAAACCGAAATCACTTCAAACATCAACCATAGAAGGCTTTAATGATCACCAACTAATGAATCAGCTTCCCTAATGGGATTTTCAAAAGCTGATAACAACGGTAATAAGATGGCAAATGTTGTGACTTTTGTGATAGTATTGAAAACGCTGTGCGTTTAGAAGCCACCGATGGAATACGAAAACAACTCATTCATAGTAACTCTCAAATAAAAAACCAATCACTTATGCAATTCCAGAAAAATCACCAAAAGAAGGGGTAAAGCAGGAAATGAACAAATCATGCGATCATTTCTATTTTGTATTTAAGTTCATGGCCGAATATGATATAGGAGTAAGTCGCCCACCATCACACGCACATGGTCCGGAACCGAAGCCCAGATCTACACTCGACCAGATGTATAAAACTTCCATCCCTGCAAGGTCAGTTGACTGTGTCAGACTTGTCTGGGAGGATGGAAGCACTGACTTTCACAACTGTTCACCATCACAACTTGCTGTAAGGTCTCATACGACAGATTGGAGGATAGTCGAATGCAGGGCGTTTTCCGAAAGAAGCTTTGACCAACGTCAAAGCTTCATCCTTGATTTATTTATGTTCATAACATTTACTTTACTACTGGTATTATTGTATTTAAGTATGAGCGCTTTCTATTAACCGTTCTGGTCCAATACAAGATGTTTCAATGAAAAAATAAAATTGCTTTATAACTACTGTATGTCATTAGATCGTATAAGCATTCTATATTATATTGCTTTTATTTTTGTACTGATATTTATAAATTTATACGGAAAACAAAAAGGGGCGCTTGGTGCATTCAAAGCATCAAACTCTTAATTATTCAGAATCGAACTTCAGCCCAACACGGCCCAGCAATAAATTTCGAGTGAAGAAAAACCCACTGAGAGTATAGCATTGGAAAGGATCAGAGTGCTGAAGGTAATCAAGGAGGTTCGACTGTGAGAACGAGTACGGAGCATTATGCAGAGCAGGCCAATGACCAATGGAGTGGCCTTCTAATTTAGGCGGAGCATGCGATTCTGAAATTTGAGATGATGTTGCATCAGTGAAACGATCCTCTACCCCATCTCAGAAATCCATTGAATATAACTAGGAGATGAGGGTGAGTAGGAGGAGAAAAATACCTTCAAAAGCTATAGAATATCACTGAATCCTAAGAGGGAATTTTCATAAAAACATGCTAGAGTTGATTCCGTCACTGAAGTCCCGGCTTCGATTCATGCAAGCAATCTAAAAATCGAAGACATCTCCTAAATGGAAACTGAATGGCTCCTCCGTTGCGGATGCGTACTCAGGCTTATATCATTTGGGTGTGCTGTGAACCACTTTTTTGAAAGTTTCACATTCCCGAAAAATCTGGTCAATTATCAATGGAAGTGAAATTTATCAGGCCCAATGTTATTTGGTAACTCCACCTCGTTCGAGGTCATTTAGGGTATGAATGGGTATTCAATAAGCNACCTTCAAAAGCTATAGAATATCACTAAATCCTAAAAGGGAATTTTCATAAAAACATGCTAGAGTTGATTCCGTCACTGAAGTCCCGGCTTCGATTCATGCAAGCAATCTAAAAATCGAAGACATCTTCTAAATGGAAATTGAATGGCTCCTCCGTTACGGATGCGTACTCAGGCTTATATCAATTGGGTGCGCTGTGAACCACTTTTTTGAAAGTTTCACATTCCCGAAAAATCTGGTCAATTATCAATGGAAGTGAAATTTATCAGGCCCAATGTTATTTGGTAACTCCACCTCGTTCGAGGTCATTTAGGGTATGAATGGGTATTCAATAAGCTCATGTAAAGAGATCGTATATTATAATATCTCAGTGACGGTGTACCGCAAGATAAGTGAAGGAGTGCATAATAAACACCGGTAGCAACCGGTGATCAACCGGTAACATCACCGGTTCGCCCGTATTTATGGTAGCTAACTCCGAGACGTTCACATCATCCGACAAAGAACACTCCAAGTACAATTTCACTTTCAAGGCTCGGCGAGACCGTTTACGCACTCGTCACTTCAGAACGAATTTTCTTTCTCAGATCAGGAACAAGTCTAATTCGTTTAACGCTTGTGAACTCGAAGTTAGTTTTGGCAAAAGGATCTCTTTAGCCAAAAGCAACCTTCTCAATTGCTTGAAAGTTTACCACACAGCCTTCCTGTGGCTGCATGGTAAGATTTGAAGCAATTAAGACGATAAGCTAGTCTAAATTGGGGAGGGACTTCAGTAGCTAACAAGGTAAGACTTCCAGATGATATTGGTGGATCACCATCGTTATAAAAACTAGCTCTTACGTCTTACAGAAGCGGTGTCGATTCTTTTAGGCCCTCTCGGAGGATGAAGGTAGCGCAGGAGATTGGAATAACCAACTGCATCCGTGGTAGTACTAGAATGCAATAATCTCACCCTTCAATTGACTCGAAATGGCAGATACACCCCTCTTATAGATACACCCCCTCAGAACCTTCTGATAGGAAAAACTTAGACGAGAAGTCCAACAAGAACAGTAGCAATAGGAAACAGGAATGTCACTTCCAATAGGACCTTAGCAAACAAAATTATAGAGAGACATCAAACATGA